GACAATTCATTGTTACTCTCTCCATACAATAATTCTTTTTAATGTTTAAGATTTTTCACACTCCTTAAAAAATATTTAATATTAATATGTTAAATTTAAAGTACTTTTATTTAATATCTTAAAATATATAGAGTAAGAATAATTAGGTTTTTATTTAAATATTACAAAGATTTTTTTTACCAAAATATCATACCTTAAAATTTTAGAATTTGCATGATACCTTTCCAAGTATTTACAAGTATGTTATAGAGTTTCTCGAATAAGTTGACCAATAATCATTTGTTTTCTTCGTTCCTTCCAAATGACAACCCATTGCACATGTTTCTCTGTCTAATTTGTATTACTATATCCTCTTATGTCTTGTTGGTGGAGTTTGTCAAGGTTATAAGGGGGATTTGGGATGGATTGCCATAGGTCAAATTGTAATTGGACCCTATGAGTTTGATGTCATACAATAATTGGAAAACAATTTAACACAAATTTTAGAGTCTTTGTAAGCATGATTTGGCAAGAATGACTCAAATCCTCTATATGGCATCCAAATAAATTGTAAATAAAACACATTAGTTCTCATATAACTAATGAAAATCAATTTACAATTATCAAGGAATTATATAACTTGATCATTATTCATATTGCACAAAATTTCACGAGGCAATTCAAAAACGCAGATAAAAGAAAATAAGTCGTTAACATATGGGTTAATAAATTTTCTTTATTCTTGCAATCAAAATAACTAGTTTCACCAATTATTTTTCAACTTAATGATTTTGTATGGTTTAAAGTCCTTAACGTATGACATGATTGAGCCTTCATTCACTACAAAAAATATGCAATTTAGCGACCACCAAAATTTTGTTATGCTGTTGATTTTTGTTTGGTTTAGTTATTATATACTGAAGATGCTATTACTTTTGTAGACAATGACTAGAATCAATGAGCAGATAGCCCATGCCATGGAGATGATGGCTATGGCTATGCAGCAACAAAATGCCTATTTTGCTCGGATGGACGCTGATAGAGCTACAGCTGGTGCAGCAAGGCCCACGGGGTCACAGGAGAGCCGGAATCTTGCTGAGTTCTAGAAATTCCCTCCTCCACAGTTCAAGGGAGATGCAGATCTAGAGGTAGCTGACCACTGGATTTGTGAACTGGAGAAGATCTTCACTGTGTTGGGATGTTCTCAGGAGAGGAGGCTGGCATATGCTGTGTACATGCTGGTTGGGGAGGCTGAGCATCGATGGAGGGGTACTCACCATATGTTGACCGCTAGAGGAGTGGTTGTTGATTGGGAATGTTTCAGGAGGGTGTTCTTGGAGAATTACTTCCCTGAGAGCGTGAGGCACGCCAAGGAAGCTAAGTTCATGCGGTTGCACCAGGGAGGGATGACAGTTTCTGAGTATGCGATGAGATTTGAGCACCTGACTCATTTTTATTCGCAAGCTATATATGAGGCCTGGAAATGCAGGAAGTTTGCTGAGGGTCTAAAGTATGAGCTGAAGAGGGTGGTGGTGCCTATGGCCATCACTGAGTTTCCGGCCTTAGTGGAGAAGGTGAAGGTTGTTGAGCGGTTGGAAGGTGGCAACCGTGTGACTAAGACTGCGGAGGGACTGGCTTCAACTTCTAGGTTATGTGTAATTTTTTGACATGCCAAAATAAGCCCTTAGTGGGGGCTAAAGAACAAAAGTGACATAAACTCTCATTTTAGTGTTTATATTCGCCAACTTATTGATGTCACTACATTCAAGGTATTATCCCATTTGAACCATTATATATATATATATATATATATAAACTAAAATATCAATGATTTCCTTAAATCCCGTGCAAAACCTTAAACGACTATAAAAAAAACGGAGAGAGTATCGTTTATAATTAGATTGGTGGTTTATGATTGATATTGTGGATAAATGACAACGTGCAACAAGAAATTATTACTGATCAGATTCGTGGTGTCATTATTATTTTTGTTCTTATCTTGAAAAGTCACTTCAGATTAAAGGAGAAAAATGCTTATAAACTACATATATATTGGCTTCAACTTCTAGGTTATGTGTAATTTTTTGACATGCCAAAATAAGCCCTTAGTGGGGGCTAAAGAACAAAAGTGACATAAACTCTCATTTTAGTGTTTATATTCGCCAACTTATTGATGTCACTACATTCAAGGTATTATCCCATTTGAACCATTATATATATATATATATATATATATGGAGATGATGGCTATGGCTATGCAGCAACAAAATGCCTATTTTGCTCGGATGGACGCTGATAGAGCTACAGCTGGTGCAGCAAGGCCCACGGGGTCACAGGAGAGCCGGAATCTTGCTGAGTTCTAGAAATTCCCTCCTCCACAGTTCAAGGGAGATGCAGATCTAGAGGTAGCTGACCACTGGATTTGTGAACTGGAGAAGATCTTCACTGTGTTGGGATGTTCTCAGGAGAGGAGGCTGGCATATGCTGTGTACATGCTGGTTGGGGAGGCTGAGCATCGATGTTTAGCGAGCGAATTCAATTTCGTCGCTAATTTTAACTATTATTTAGCAACCAAATTAAATTATGTCGCTAATTTTAACTATTATTTAGCGACCAAACTCAATTCCGTCTCTAAAAAAAAATCAAAATTTATAATTTAGCGACCGAAATAGCGACCAAATTTAATTTCGTCGCTAAATTTAACTACTATTTAGTGATCGAATTCAATTTTGTCGCTAATTTTAACTATTATTTAGCAATTGAATTAAATTCCTTCGCTAAAAAAATCAAAATTTATTATTTAGCGATTGAAATAGCGACCGAATTTAATTTTGTCGCTAAATTTAACTACTATTTAGCGACCGAATTCAATTCTGTCGCTAATTTTAACTATTATTTAGCGACTGAATTAAATTCCGTCTCTAAAAAGAATCAAAATTTATAATTTAGCAACTGAAATAGAGACCAAATTTAATTCCGTCGCTAAAAAAAATCAAAATTTATAGTTTAGCGACCAAAATAGCGACCGAATTTAATTCCGTCGCTAAAAAATCAAAAAAATTTATTTAGCGACCGAAATAGCGACCGATTTTCTAGCGACAAATTATTTTGGTCGCTAAATCGGTCGCTATTTTGATTTTTCATAATCGGTTGCTGAATCAGTCGCTAAATAGCGACTGATAAATTTCGGTCGCTAATTTCGGTCGCTATTTTACAATTTTCTAGTAGTGATTCAATTACTACTACAATAATCTGAGGAAAAAATGTGAGAGTGGATGTGTTATTCAATGACTTGATTAAATTTCGTGAGATAAATGGAATCTCACATGGGATGGAGGTCAAAGATGGGGGTATATGACAACAAATCTAACAAAGGCAATCAAATCAATGCTTCAAAAAATAAAAAACCTACCAATTAGAGCACTGATTTTGTTGATCTACCAAAGGTGTAACAACTAATTATTCAATCAAAGAGGGAGAGAAGTCACAATAAATTGAGATCCAATCAAGTATACACAAAAATATTAAGCAAAGCCTTAGCTGATGCACAAAAAAAGGCAAACTCTCTCCATGTGCTTGAATTTGACAGATGCAATATGTGTTTCCTAATATAAGAGATACTTAACCCAAGAGAAACGACTAATTGGACAATTTAGAGCCAAATTAGATAAAGTGTGGTGTGATTGTGACAAATTTCAAAAATTATACATGTCTTGCTCATATATCATTATTGCTTGTAAACGTGCTCACAATGATTACACGTCTTACATACATTTTGATTACACATTAGAATACATTTCCAATGTGTATAAGGAATTGTTTGAAAAGTTGTGAAATAAACAATATTGGCTACAATGTAATGAAACTCGCCCTAATACATACATGAAAATAAATTAAAAAAAAGGTCATACAAATACACATAAAAATGGATATGAGAAAAACTGATCAACCGAAAAGATATTCCAAGTATAGGAATCTAGGTCATATTAAGAAAAAGCATCCTTATTGTATAAAAACTTTTGGTTAACAATAGTAATTTTTCTTTCTATTGTTGTAACTTTCATTTTGTTCTTCATGTTATTTTGATTTAAAGTAAATTTTAACAATTTCATGTGTTTTTTGAAAATTTATTTTTACCGACTATAATATATTAAAAATATTTATGAAAATAATATTTTACTTTCTTTTAATAAATTATCAAACACACATATTACAAATTTTATTAATCATTAAAAATATTGTTTATCTATAATAGAAATAAATGTACCGTTAAAATAAAAATAAAAATAAATTATATATTAACTAATTCTTCAAGCTTAAATAAAGAATATATATTATAAAAATAATAATATTAAAAAAACAAAATTTTGAAGACAAATATCTGCAATTTAGAAATTGGTCATTTACCCAATTTCTCAATGCATAAATAAAAAAATAAAAAAATTAGTTAGTAGAAGGCCAAATTCTTAACATAAATAATAAATGTAAGACTTTGATAAATATATTTTAAAGTATGCTATTTTGATAATTTTTTAATAATATTTAAATAAAAAATTGAACAATTATAATTATAGAGTAAGAATATTAATTGTGAAATAAATAATATTATAAAACATGAAATAATTTACAATAAAAGGAAAAGTGAAGATGATAAAATATATGTACATGAAATAGCAGCAAAAGTGAGTTTCTTTGTGAAAGTCCAATTGAATTACAACGTAATATTTTCTAACGATGGTTTAGGGCTTGAATTGTAGCATGTAAGAGTATGACATTAAGAGGAATTAATTATGGGCAACTTGTTCCTCCTAAAATGGAGAAACAAAATATTTCTAATAAAAGGCTAATAAAGTGAGGATTGTGAAACCTCAACACTCAACAGTGTAGATAGATAATTTATTGGGCAGAGAGAGAGAGAGTGGTAATTAAAAAAGCAAAGATATTAATTGGCGGAATTAATTAAATAGCAATTCATGAATCCATCTTTGTCCTTATTATTAGAGGAAACCCCTAAACGCTATCAGCAATCCCACCGTTGGATCTCGATCCCCGCGTCAAAACTCAAAACTCATTCCTTAAAAAGCGCTTTTCCAAACCCCTTCTTCTTCTTCCATTAATTAAAATGTAGCAGCCACTGCCACCAACAACCGCTTAACCTCATGGCTTTCCACGACCACCAAATACCGTTCCACCGCTTCGCCGACGACCAGGAGCTCAGCCAGAATAGAGACAGCCTCCCACCGACATGGCGCCAACAGAATTTCCTCGATCAGGATTTGAGGGACTACAAAGCCGACATTCTAGGACACCCTCTCTACGACCAACTCTTGTCGGCGCATGTCTCCTGTCTCAGGATTGCCACTCCCGTCGACCAGCTTCCCAGGATCGACGCCCAGCTTCAGCAGTCGCACCGCGTGCTTCACAAATACTCTGCTCTCCCCCACAACGCCGTCGTCGATGACAAGGACCTTGATCACTTCATGGTTCGTTTACTTAACTTAATTAAACCCTCTCTTTCTACAAAACACTAGTTTATGCTTCACGAATCTTAATTTTATTCAATTAACTCTACCTCTCTTTAATTTCTTTCTTCCTTTGCCTCACTCTCATTTCTCTGATTTCCACTGTCACTGTGAGCCGTAAGAAAGGTTAGTGTAAATCTTTTAAATTAAGGGATGTTTATACAATTTTATGAAACTTTTAAGTGATAGTGCAGTTTTAGAAAATCTAAACAAGTACTCTGTATATGTAATTTACTCTTCAAATTATTATCATCTTGATTGTGGTTGTGATTTTGTGGTATATATTGATACTTCCGGAAAGGACAAACATAGTCACACCACCACACTTGCAGTTGTAATGGTAAACACTCATCGACATAAGTGATGACACTGTGTCGTCTTTTGATAAAGTTGTATAAAATATGATTTTTTTTAATTCATAAAAATTACACTATAATGTAAACTTAGAATCTTATATATATTATCTATATAACTCTCTTCCACTGCACAGACTTTAGCATTTCAATCATATTTTGTTAGTATAGACTATTTTAAGAAAAAAAATTATTTACGATTTTTTATGAAGATTAACCACTCCTTCTAGATCATGTATTTATGTCATACCTTATTTATTTTTGTATTTTTAGTTTTAGACCTTTGTATCCAGATTTTGTGGACTAGATTATAGAGAATTAATTCACAAGTGAATAATGGGAGTGATTGGTTTTTCAACTTGATATTTGGATGGATGGTAGTACGAGGCATTTGGGTTGTAAAGGTGGGTGAATCTGATTTGTCATGGAGTGGCTCCGCTTGAGGGTTCTCATGCTGCTGCTTCCTACAATAGTGCTACTACAGCCTTTAGGAGTGCTTTATGGAATCTTTTCTGTTAATGCTGTCATGATCTTCCTCCCCACTTGTTCACTTCTCTTTTTCCTTTCCCCTTTTTGCTGCTTCATTTCTTCAATTCTTATAGAATATGTCCTGAGCCAAAGTTGAACCTTTTCATCAAGTTTTCTCAACTTTTACTTCCTGATTACTGTACGTTTCTGGCTTCCCCAAGTACAATAATGGGAGCATACGGACTTTGGTGATTCTGTACGTATCAACCGGTCATACTATTTGTCCTCTAGTGTATGGTAGAATCTACTAAATGCATGAATCAACTATAATTAGGTTGGTGATTTTCAACATTGATTCTGACTTGATATCCACTTTACATATAATGATTGGAGTGAGGCAACATATTATAGTATGTATGATTGAAATATTAATACTGAATCACTGCAACATTTGTGGGGACATTTATTTAAGTTTGGCATCTCGGAGTTGTTTATTTATCTATACAAAAGTTATAATCCTTTTCAATTATTGCTTTTGTTAATTTCTTAAGGAACATGCATGTCCATTAGTTATTAATGCGAAGATCCTTTTTGAATTTGCTACTTTGCTTGTTGTAGACCCATTATGTTCTGTTGCTATGTGCCTTTAAAGAAAAATTGCAGCAGCATGTCCGTGTTCATGCAATGGAGGCAGTGATGGCTTGTTGGGATCTGGAGCAGTCTCTGCAAAGCTTGACAGGTAATTTTTCAGGGTTATAAAAGTCTTCTTACTCGCTCCCTAGCTAGATGTTACCGTTTTTTCTACTATTATTATGTCCGTAAACAAAACAAGGAGAGAGAAAAAGAGTTGATGGAAAAGTAAAAGGAAATAGAAAAGAATGAATTGCATAGCCTGTTCCTCATTTAAAACTTGTGTTTCACTGCTTCTCTTCATGGAATAGGGAAAATGTAAAATAGTAAAAGTACACCTCAGTTGGGAGTATTGGACTCGGAAGGAAAAGAAAAAACTCCGATCATTTATCTACCTTTTATTCCATCTATCTCTCTTTTTTTTTTTTTTTTTAAATTTACTTTCATCACATCCTTTATGATATTATTCATTAATCTTGACTAGAATTAAACTCTCGAATTTTGGTTCAAGTAAAATATTTTGAATTATGAATAAGAATCTTAAAATTATCTTTAATACAAGTAAGTCTAAAGTAAAACAACATACTAATATATACCTAGAAATTAATAATCCGCAGAATAGCAAAACTTCTAGAAATACACACATATATAATTCAAAAATATGAAAAATAATTTATTACGTTAATATTTAAAGTAATAGAAAAATACATTTAAATTTTTTAAATAAATGTTATTGTAATTTTAAAGCATTTAAAATTATTCTGAATTGAATGCATGAATGCTTGTTTACACTTAGTTTATGTGTCATGCCAATGTCATACTCATCGCTGGTGAAAATGCTACCATATATAGTTCGTAACTCTCAACGGATTTGGATTTTTCTTTTTTAAGTAGTAGTATATATATCATATCATATATAGTAGAGAGAAAAAACATTTTTATTAAATACTAATAACCCATCATAGCTGCTGTGATAAAAAAAGACCTATCATAGTTAATTAAAGGAGTCAATTAATTATATTTAATAAAAAATTCTCTTTAATACGATTATATCATATTACTCCATGTAAAAAAAAAAACCATGTCCAACTCGCATCTGCTCATTTATTCACAAACATTGAAAACATAAACGTAGCCAAATATTAAGGGAGTAATATGTAGTTAGTAATGGAATTAAAAAAAAAAATCTTATAATAGAAAAGTGAAGAGAGAAGAAAGCTAGGTTGAGTATATATATTTGGATTCATGTTAAAATATCAGTGATTTTAAGAAAATGTTTAGTTAATTCTATGTTAAATGATTGATTTTAATGTTAAAATTGATTTTTGAATTGAAGAAAAAAAATTGTATTAATTAGATAAAAAAATTATACTAAATTTTTTTATTAATTTATATTTAGACTAAAAATATTTTTATTCTTGTGTCGTCCTTACCATAGTTAAGCGAAGGTAATCTGGCTTGGGGTTAGGTATAGTTACTATAGTAGGAAGGAACTAGTTTCTCACATTGTAGCAAACTAAGATTTGAACCACCGATATAGGAGATGTCCATGCTACGAACAAATAACAATATTCCTTTGGAAAAAAAACAATTACCTGAAAAAACCATAAAAAAGTAAAAATATTTAAACATAAATTATATCATTTAAAAAATTCATACAAATACACAGCGAGAGGCTGCTTTACTCAAATCCCAATGTGCAAGGGCTTGACGAGGCATGAATATTTTTAAAGGGCTAATGAGTGGGTAAAATGAATCCAGAACAAAAATATATACAAAGCATAATCAAAGAAATAGCATATAATATTAATATCTTTGGCTAAAAGAAAAACTAAAGGAATAATAGTTTGACGAATTAAAATGTTCTCATTCCCTTCCACTCATGAAAGTGGGACTAGTGAGTGGGATTGTGCCTGATATTTTCTCTCCTCCCCTATTTTAGATAAACATAGTGAAAGATATATAGAAGAAGAAAATTGTGATAAATGATGTTATGTGAAAAAGAGAGATAAAAAGGGAAATTAACAATTTTTAGAAACAAAATATACAATTTTTGTTATAGCTGGACTGCTGTAGGCAGAATAACCACATATACACCAATTTTTTTTTATAAAAAAAAAATAGCCACATAGTTTCTGAGCTGGAATCAAATTATCTGTCCTCTTCATATATTTTATTTTTTTTCCTAAAAAAAATGGTAGAAAAGAGTGAGAATGTTATTTTTTTAAGCACGTGTTAGTTTTTAATAAATAAGAGAACAAAGAAAGATTCAGGACACAACCGGGGACACTTTGACTTCCAATCCTTCTTCATAAAGCCTTTTCATGTAATGGAAATAGAGATTCTCACAAATGGTGCGTCCAAATTGTTCAACAAATTATCGACACAGTAGTGATTAATTAATAGTTAATTATTACCGTTAATAATGTGATTGGCTACATAAATAGTATATGCAAGAATTATTCTTAGAGGAAGCACTCCATCCGTTTCAAAAGAGTTTGGAAAAGTTAATGAGCATCATTAAGTAAAATAAGAAAGCAATTAATAATAGAATGAGACGATAACATAGTTGAATGAGCTTAGATTCTCTTAAAATTAAAAGCATTTAATAACTTCTTCAAAACTTGTTTGAAATTCCTAATTAAGTACACTTCTATTGGAAAAGGAAATATTTTACTCCAACCATGATGAATCTGCGTTCCTTGCAATTAATTGCAAACTTCTCCTTGGCATATTGTTGTTTGCTCTGGTATGAGAACTGAGACAGTGTACTAAAAGTTGCACATTGCCTGCATTTATGTTATGGAGAGGAACATTATGTAAGACTTTGGGATTACAGGAATCATGCTAATTAACGATCTAATGATTTTTGAGCTTTAACTTTTCAATTTCCATTGCCCCACTAGTGTTTTACAATGAAATGTATCCAACTGAGAATCAGTGTTATCATTCAACCACTGAATGCTGGTCAGTTCTCAAATTAACATATGATTTTCTTAAGCAAGGTTTCAAGTACAAATCTTGAGGATGGATAAAAAAAGTGATTGGAATGAGAGATTCCATTAAAGGTGACTAAATAAATTTTTTAATAAAAATTAATTATTAATAAAATTAGTGGAAACTTCATGATATATTGTTATTAAAAATTACATACATATTATTAGAATTCATCTTAAAACTAATTGGTTGAGCTATAAACTCCGATACATCTTAGATTTTATTTTAAAACCAACTAATATCAAGTGAAGTTATGCCCACAAATATTTTAACCACACCCATAAAATTGAAGTAGGTAATGAAAAACTCTCCAAGACTTCCTCTAAAGAGACCTAAACCACAAAGATAGATTATATATAGGTTATGATACTATGTTAGATTTTATTTTAAAATCAATTTACATCAAGTAAAATTATTCAACAAATATATAAGCTGCACTCAAAAAATTGAGGTAGATGATATAAGAATTCATATATATGATGATTGATGACTAGGGCATATTTCATGCTTCACTTAGGAACTTTGTCCAACCCCTCGGACGTTGCTTCTATTAATTAGTAAATCTGAATCTGATGGAACTACTAGAGACTATATAATATTGTAAAATATATTAATGTGTAGCACATTAATTACAAGTGTTTTGAAACTATATGATGCATGAACCCTTTTTTATTGTTGATTAGCAAGGACATATATATTAAATTCTGTGCTTACAAAATATAAGCAGGTGTATCTCCTGGTGAAGGAACGGGTGCAACAATGTCAGATGATGAAGATGAGCAGGCAGAGAGCAATGGGAACTTATATGAAGGTAGCCTCGATGGCGCTGATTCTCTTGGCTTTGGTCCTCTTGTCCCCACTGAGACTGAAAGATCTTTGATGGAGAGAGTCAGACATGAATTGAAGCATGAACTCAAACAGGTGATTAGTTAGTTACACATTTTTAGGACTAAGACTATATTTGGATTCGACTTTTTTGAAAACATGAGTAGTTTCTACCACCAATCCAAAGTCCAAACACACTATCTGATTGGCATTGCTGAACAGCACAATGGCAGAAGTTTTTTCATAATGAATTTGTTTGTGTTTCATTTCAGGGTTATAAGGAGAAGATTGTGGACATAAGAGAAGAAATTCTACGAAAGAGACGAGCAGGGAAGCTCCCAGGTGACACCACATCCCTTTTGAAAGCTTGGTGGCAAGCACATTCTAAATGGCCCTACCCCACTGTAAGTTTAATATGGACATTGGAATTATATTACATATATTATACACGTACTGTGTTAATTTCTTGATATATATTTTGGCTAATTTGCATGAATGTTTTAGGAGGAAGACAAGGCTAGATTGGTGCAGGAAACAGGGTTGCAATTAAAGCAGATAAATAATTGGTTCATAAATCAAAGGAAAAGGAACTGGCATACAAATAACCCCTCATCCTCAAGTAATTCCAAAAGCAAGCGCAAGAGGTACGTCAATTCTCACTTCTCTCTTCTAAACAGTACTCCTTCAGTCCCATAATAAATTTCTCACGTAAGTTTTATAAATTTTCTGGTACATCGTTATTTTATAGAAAATTAAAGGATCTTTGAAATTCATGATGCTCACATAATAATAAGAAAGTGTGTACTTTTCTCCATAGTAGAAAACTCCTTTGATCCTTAGAGTACTTTGATCTTCTTCGAGAAGAGAACCAAGATTTCACTCCCTTTGACTTTTCTTTTCTACTCTCTCTATCTTTCGTGATGGCTAGGGTTTGAGAGAATACTTTCTACCAGGGGTGTGGACCTTGTCTCACATTAGTGGATATTTATAATTCCTAAAGATTGTTATTTCCATCAAATAACAATTATTCTCATAAATGCTCAATTAAACCCATTTATGATTTAGTCTTTAATTATTTAATTATTTATTTATTAGTCCCTTTATATATTACATATTTTTCACATGAGACATAATTATCTTACATCTCATTAAAACAAAACGTAAATTTTAAAATAGGTGTTAAGTGTTATATTAATTTTTCAGTATAATATTAATTACTCTTTTTTTTTCCATTTATATCCTAATAGTAATATTATGTAAAAATGAGTTTTGTATTGCATTATTTCTTATACAGAAGATTAAACATGAGATTAATTTTATAAAATTATTAATTAATTTATTTATTTATTAATTTTTTATCTATATAAAACAATTCAACACAATATTTATTATGAAAAGAAAGGAGTATATATTATTCTTGTGGCTAAGTTTGAAAAACCATCCTCAAGCTGCATTCAATTTTATTCAAATAAAATATTAATCGATAATTTGATTTTGATGTATCATAATGTAAAACTTTTCTTTTATCCTATCACGTGTCTCATTTTAACAGTTAATTATATGAAATGTTACACTCATTAAGTAAAGCGATAATACATCACTAAATAAAATAATTTTGAAACATATATAATTTATTCAACTCATGAGTTTGTCTTGTAGCTTTCTTATAATTAATTAAACTATCATATATTATCTACATTTTTCAATGTGAGTCGTGACTCATGAGCTAATTAGATTTATCATTGACTCTAATTATTTTTAGGTCGCGATGAGTTTGAGTCAAGGTAGATTGACTTATTTAACATGTATATTTTTAATTTGTTCTTTTAAATTACTTAATCAAAACAAACTTTTTAAAAATGTTGAAATTCTTTTAAGCAAAAAATATGATTTTTGTTAATAGTGTTTTTCTTCTTATTTTTTTTCTTCAAATCTCTTCTTTGTATTTTTAAGATTTATTTTCACCTATCAATATGCGGTAGGTGAAGCCAAGTTATATATGTTTAATTTCTTTCACTCGTCAGAAAAATTAGGATGAGTTAACTCATTTTTCTCTACCAAACCCGAATAATTAGTTGTTTCACTTAAACATCTTTAATATTATCATCAATTTTAATACATGAGGGAGGACGTAAATAATCTGTACATAAAGATACATTTTATAAAATTAGTAATCATGTATGACTAAATCTGAGTGTTATTTTTGGATGGTAACAGTGCAGGAGAAAGCAGCAAGCAGAGCTTCATGTGAATGGTGGCATATCTTGAACAAAAAATGATTGGTATATATTGTTCATCCTTTTATGCACGCTGGTGGAATTCATAGCTCTTACGGTTCAGCGTGAACATGAAATGATGGATTCTTGATGTAAAAGGGAAATTCATGATAAAATCATTGTTAAGAAATAGTGTTAACACTTCTGGTTGAATTATAGGAAACCCTAGCTAGTATTGTTGTATATGCCGCTTCATGCAGGTACAATCTATTGGATTTAATGGCTAGCATGCTGATACATATAACATTTTCTTTTCTGCTTATTTTAAAAAAGGAATAAATATTTTTGAAAACTTAATAGAAGAATATTTCATCTTAAGTAATAACTGTCAGAATTTAGTGCAAATTCGTCGGTTTTATTTCTTAATTTTTTGGTTTGTACCAAATATTCAATTTTATCCCTCAAAGGGATGAGTTCGTCACATTACTACCGTTTTAGTCTTTGAATATATATTATTAATAATATCATTTCTTAATTTCTTTGAATTTTGGAGTAATTTAATTGCCAATTTGTATTTTTAATTTTTTTAATTAACTTTATTTAATTCAGTGACTAATATGACATTACTTTCCGAATTCAGGAACTAATTTAAGTGATTATTTACTTGTATAACAGATATCGCTAAGCCTATAGTTTTTAACCAAAAAAAATTCCATATACGTATCAGTATTCTAACTTTTGAGAATATATTTAAGAAACTCTTCTATATACTAACTATGATCAACTTTATTGGTTAGGTTTTATTTCTCAATTACACAGAACTATTAAGTTCTTGGCTTAGTAATTACAATGTGTTTTCTTATGATTGAACCTTTTATGGCGGAGCGTTTTCAGCATCGAGTTACTTATTTTTTGACAATTATATTATTAACACAAAATATTTATTAATTTGGTCAATTTTTTTCTGATAGCGTTAGTGTTAGGTCACTTGCATGAATGTATTGTATATATGGAAAGGCTACACTTGTAATTATTTTGCGCAAAAGACGCCTACTACTGGCAATTAATGAAAAGGTGGTAAGTGCTTTCTGTATCTTTGAAATTTCTACTCTGATCCAAGTCTAAAACAATCGTAGTGTGAAGCAAAAAAAACATAATATTAAGAAAAAGAAGTACAGGATAATATAACCTATATACAAAGTTAAGACAATTACTGAATACATATCAATGACTCGTTTAACTAATTTATGTATACTAGTTATTCCTCATTCAAACTCTCTATCAACCATTTCCATGACTTATATTTGATAGCATCTATAATCTCCCCAACATTTAATAAACCATTATTAAAGACAATGTTATTTTTATGTAATTAAATACTCAATACCAGAATTACTCAAATAGTTACTACATACTTCCACTTCTTTTTCCTACCCACAAGACCACACATATCCAATAAAAGATCCTCTAAACACTTTGGCATACATGAAGAGAAACCCAACCAATACCAAATTGAATACTATATACTGCTAGAAATAAAACAATCAAGAATAGGTGTTTCACCTCTTTGTCTTCATAACTACACAGGACACAGATTCAGTTATCAACAACATACCACGCTTTACAAGTCCCTTACGAATCGACAAAGCTTGTAATAACAATTACCGAGAGAACACACTTGCCTTTTTAGAAACTAGTACCTTCCACATACGAGGCAATGTCAACACCATTGGTGAATTATATTGAATAAATAAGCATTTATGATTGCTAACTTTAGTAACTATTAGAGCAGATTTAGTGATAGAAAATTTAGATAGCAAGCACACGTTATACCGACATGTCAATTTTTTAACAACCTCGTATTTTATATACAGTTTTTTAAGAGTTGTTGGATTTTATCTTATTTTATTTCGTTTTTGGGTTTGGGATTTGAGTAACAGATTGAAGGATTTGGGACCAACTTGGCATGCAATTTAAGTTGCACGAGGGGACCAACTTCCAATTGCCTTCTTTCAACAAAAGGAATTGGGAATGAAAAGGAATAGGCACCAAAAGCAAACGAAAAGGAATAAATTATTTTGAAGGCGTCCTCAACGCAACGCGTTTACTTTTGGAATAATGTTACTTTATCCTCAAAACCAATGGTTTACGTGTAACTATTGTCTTGAAGAATCCAAATCCTCTCTTTCCCATTTCCATCTCTAGAAGAAGATTGATCAAACCAAAAACAATATTTTTGGTGGGTGCCCTTTCAATCGGTTTTCTCTAAATAAAACGTAAAATTTTTAATTAATAGGTGGGAAAAGAACACAATGGTCGTAACTCTTCACACAATGAATGATAATTAAAAAACAAAAACTAGAAACAAGTTTTGGCAACAACGAAAACAAGAACATGGACGTATCATAATTCATTCTGGCGACGTCCAGGAGCAGCAAATCTAGCTGAGAAACTGTGAGGCATGCCTTCATCTTCACTCTGAGCCCCACTATTGAAGTTGAGAGCATAGCTATGTTCATCATACTGGAACCTCTTCCTTTGTTGTCTCTTCCCATACCCACTTATCTTTCTAATGAAAGTCTTCCACTTTGGACCAGCAATTACTTCTGTAAACTCTTTTGTTTTTCTCAATTTGTTCACAACCCATGATTCTCCCTCAGTACCCTTATTGTCAAGGAGTCCTTTACCTTCTTCATCATGGCCCTGCCACCATTTCTTGAAACCAAAACAATGAAAGCATCCACAGCTGCTGCTGGCATCTTCGAAATCTTCTTCACGTTCCATTTCCATCACCAATGGCCTTGCCTCGTGAGACGCCATGTATTCTTGTATGTGAGGTTAGTGGCGGCTTTAATAATTGAGAAAAGATTTATAGAACGAGAGAGTGCTGAAGGAGGAAAAGTCAAAGAAACCGTAGGAGACATTTTTGAAAATTGAATTCAGAAGGTTCCAATCACGAGTTTTCTTTCTAGTTTCCTATTACTCAACAATGAGATATTAGCAATTAAATAAAAGAAGCGGTTGGGTGAAGTAATATTAATTAATATTTTAATTTCGTGTAGTGTTAGAATTCAATATCATGTTGACTACCCCCCACGCGTCATACTCAATTGCTTTGACAAAAAAGGAAAGACACGTTTTACACGCACAGTACACGCGACACTCATAAAGGAAATTCAATGAATGAACACGATTTTAACAAAGGCAGTACAACTTTTCACATTGTTTTCTTATTTTCTATTTTTTTTTTGCCAACTCAAATGACATGTTTGATCATGTTCATTGAGGGTTGGAAGTAATAGAAGAATATGTAGTATAACTAAAAAAGCTAGAAACCTCTTAACAACCTTGGTAACTTTCTGTCTGAAACAATTAACAAATCATTCCTTCCCTATTATATATTGCAGAATATGCAATTGGATGAAAAACACAAAATAAGGCAAAAATCATTTGTGGACTTGAGTCTGTAGCGAATTGGGTTGCAGCTGTTGGTTTTGTCCCTTAGGAGAGTTTTGTCCTCTGGGAGAGATCTTGGACGCTATAGAACGTAATTCACTGGCAATCTCAGTGAAGGTAGGTCTCTCAGATGGCTCTGATGACCAGCACCTCTCCATCAACAATCTCCATTCTGGATCACAAGATTCAGGAACAGGAGGGCGCAAAGTGTTGCTCACAATACCACCTGAATTATATTTACATGTAACAACTCAATTTAACTGAACGCCAAATAATTAAATCAAAAGTTTGGATTCAACCCGAATGTTACCTATAATAGCACCATAGTGCAAGTCAGCGTATGGCTCCTCCCCAGTATAGAGTTCCCACATCACAATACCAAACGAAAACACATCAACCTGAAACAACAAATTAATATATATATAAAAAAATAAAAAATAAAAATAAAAAGTATCAAATTTAAATAGTGACCAAATATGAAGGCGTCGTAATACATCAACCATTCAGATTAAGTTAAAGCATAAACCTTCTCTGATACAAGGCTACTGCTTCCGTTCAGCAGTTCTGGAGCCATCCATGGTAGAGTTCCTCTCACACCACCAGAGATCAGTGTCTGACATTTTACTTTGGACAGACCCAAGTCGCCAACCTGACATCAGAGGCAAAAGTGTAAATGGTAAACTGACTACTGAGGGATCAATTAATCAGGTGTTCCATGCTTCAAGTAGAACTGTGTTGAGCGGAAGCAAATATTGATGACCTAAAATCGGTTAAAAGAAAATGATGGTGCTTAATGTTGCAGAAATGGAACAAATTTAAAATCATTCAGTGAATGGGTGTTCAAATCCAATGCAAATTGATGGAACACAGTATAGACCTTTAGACATTATTTTGTTGATGGATCAATAGCCCAGTAATAGGTCCTGTTTTTGTTATCATTTGCTTTGGTTTTTTCCAAATTATTTTGTGAATTTTTACGTTCAGAAGGATTCAAGCAACTTAACTCAGTTTAGTTCGGTTCGGTTTTACAAATTGAATCAAACCAATTGGTTCTCGTATTACATAAACCGAATGGTTTGAATAGGCTTTATGCCTTACTATGGATCTTAACTGAACTACAAACACCAAATTTGTGGTGTCAATTGCAAGGCACATCTGACCAAGAAAACTGGGAATGGAAAGTTGGCAGGTTTAGAATAGCTAAACAAGTGAAATTTAATTAGGGTTGGATGATGCAGGAGGCAACATTACAAAGATTCAAATGGCCAAATCTTCGTGTAGAATAAGGAAGCTCCAACACACTAAATATGTTGCTACCCTAGTCAAGAGTAAAATGTACTAAGAAAAGCACAGGTTAGCAAGCCTAACAGAAAACAGAGAAATAGAGCATACAACAAGTATGAAAAGGCCCAAGTTTCTCTGGCTTCTTGGAAGATCTTGATCGGCATCTACAGTTGAGGGCCTCTGGTAATTTTTGTGTAACACTGCAACCTTAACTTTTCCTTAGGAATAAAAGATGCTTTGTTCTAGATTTCAATAGCATAATCAACACCAAAACACTAGAGAGTAGATACATTCCATATAATTGCTAACAAAAAACAGTTTCCATCATCTACTTCTCATATTATAGGAATCCAGGGTAAAATCCCATAATTCTGTCAAGTATCAACAGGTAGAATCTTCAGTAACTTGTACAGTCACCTTCATTTAATCTTATTTCCAGGACTAGAGAAAATTCCAAGCATCTCAGATAACATCATCTAAATTTTATAGGTTTTTCTTTCACATTGATTCCCTGAAGACACTAACAAGACATTCATTAAGCATCCAAAAGGTCTTTTGTGCACTACCATAATACCCAAGACAAATAGTTGAATTCCTACAAATATAACCAATATGAACGCTTGACATAAATTGCAGGAACAATTTAAAAGAAAGACGCCTAAGGAATAAAGAGAGCATCCAAATGGAATTATAATTTAAAAAACAAGGCAACAAAAAGAGGTGAAGCTAAAACAAGGGAAAATAAATCCATTTGACCATCCCATGATTAAATCCTGGTAGTATAGATCAAAGTTATCAAATTGTGATTCAAATCCTGAATAGCCAAGCTAATTTCTGGATCATGCATCATAATTTGCTTTGAATTGTAAGATTCAGAGACAACGAAAAATAATTTCTAATGTATCATATAGATGATACATAGTGTTCAACATAACAGTTTTAAACTAAAAATAGATAAACAACTTAACCATAAACCTGATAAAACAAATTTATTAGTTATACGAATGGAACAAAGCAATGAAATAGACAAATAGTGTTCATGCAGGATGCATTGAATGAGTTTTGCTTTTATCGGCCAAATAACATATATTAATTGGTGCAAGTTGAACCATAAGAAATATTACAAAATATATAAAGGATACATGCAACTCTATCCTGCCAGAATACATGTAGTCCCCAACTGAGTACAAATAAAAGAAAGCATGCGCAGGGAGAGTGAGAGACATATACAGATGCATTGAATGGGTGAGAGAGACAAATACAGTAGAATAATCAAATAGGGTGAGTTCATATATACTCCTTCAACTACTTTTCATTTAATAATTTAAGCTAATATGACTTTTCAATTTCTTTCACAAGAAATAGTGAAAGAAAAGTAAGAAAGAAAAAAATAATGAATAGTTGAATCATATGATTTGTATCAATGATACAAAATTGCACCAATTCATTCATGTATAGTAACATTTAATGTCATTTGAGATTCATCTTATCACAAGAATCAATAGGTAGACAATTCATACTGAATCATATGATTTGAACTTGAGTCGTAAGATTATAATACCTATGGTATAGACTGGGTTTCAACCTTAATAACTGAGAGAACAAGAACAATTTTCAGAACAAGGTTTAAACTTTAAAATAATATGGAGACTTTCACCTCTAATGTCTTCGATTATGAAGAGCAACTTGGGTTATTTTCAACAACAAAACACAAAATGTAGCTTTTTAAATACTAATAATGCAACATACAAACGAGCTAGGCATATGGTATACAACACACGGTCTATCATTGTCCCCCAAGATGTTAAAAATATCCATACACAACAACTAGCAAGAGAACAGAATCAGCAAACATGAGAGGATAATAAATATCAACCTGAGAAAAGCAAATAAAACAGAGCCAATGAGACATGATTTTTCAACGGTAAACTTCATTTTCCCCGGTGAGACAAAATGAATGTGAGATCTATTGGTGAAAACATATCTGAACAATGCGTACAAGAACTACAATCCAATTTGCAGAACAATGAAAGAAGACAGCTTAACAGCACAGGAGCCTTTAAATTTTTTGCAGTCACATCTACATTAGGCTGCAAGCTAAATCTTTAAATCCAGCCTAAAATTCTTGGTGCATGCCAACTTGTACCTAATTGATAAACTTATGGGCAAATCCAGTGCTACACATTCACAAGTGGCAGTTTATAACCTTAGTTTTTCAGTGGGTTTGCATCAGCCTATGCAAGTTGATGACTCATCTTCAAATGAATTCCCATTATTTTCTGTTGAGTTCACGACACCCATCTAGACACTGCAGTGCATATTTGCAATCACTAATTTTCCACCAGAACCTAATGCTATAATAAACAATTTTAAATTTATAATTAGTGTATAGTTGTCTACATTCATATATAAACTTTCACTTAGAAATCACAGTAAACCTTATGCACAGCCAACCAGTCAAACTTATGACTGGTTAACAGATATATCTGAAGTCACCCTTTAGACAAACCGACAAACTAAATATCACACCACCATAATTTAGTACTTTCGATGGATCAAATTCCTTGAATCGGACTAAAGGAGCAAACTGATCAATCTATCTCATCAGGGTTCATCAAGGGAAGCCACTTTAGCATATTCCAAAGATCTTAATAATCTGCTCAATTACACCAGAGTAGAAGTACGTCACATAATGGACAAGTCATAAATTAACAAGAACCTTGAGTCCTAAACATATATGAAAGAAAATGGGCAAACTAATGTATCTCCTAACATACAAAATACTGGAATGCATGTCTACCACAATATGAGACAACAGAACAAGATTCTTGATAATTGATATGAAACCATCAGTATCAAGCATTTAAACCTTGCATATTGGGCGGTGAGGATCTCGGAGATTCACAAGCAAGTTGTCACTTTTCAAGTCAAAGTGTACAATGTTTCTTCCATGCAAGTACTCCATTCCAAATGCCACGTCCATTGCAATCAAAAGACGCTTGCGCTTGTCAAGATTCCTGATATGATCACCATTAGCATCAAGCATTTATCAATTTGGAAACAAGATATTAAATCCAGGTAATGCGAAGGAACTAAGAAACAAACATGAACATATACATGGAAACATGCCTATGAATACAAGCAGAAGTTACCTCTCACTCTTTTGCAGGGAATTTCTTAAAGAACCGTTAACCATATACTCAGTTACTGTTGCCACAGAACCTCCTGGGCCATCAAGCACTACACCATAGAAAGCTACCACATTTGGATGGTGCAAGTCAGCCAGCTTGATTGCCTCATTCCAGAAGTCACTTCTCTGTTTCATGCACAAACCAAGTATCATTGTTAGTTCTTTGGTAATTGAAGAGGGTTAGAGAAAATCGAAATCATAGCCATTAATGAGAGACAGACCATGCGCTCTTGCTCTGAAGGCTTTCCAGCAAAACATCTATCAGTAATCCGCTTGATTGCAACATCTGTGCCCCTCCATTTTCCATGATATACAGTCCCAAAGGTACCAGAACCCAGTTCAGTCAGTTCTTCAAGATCACAATTCTTTATAACCTAGTAAAGTTCCACCAGCAAGGTTTTAGCTCTGCTGCACTGACAGCACAAAAGCATAGAAAGGGAAATGTGTGAAAGACATTCAACCTGTAATTTTCCCACACCCGATGCAGGAAAGCCAAAATTTGCCTTTTCTGGTTGCTTGTTCTTGGCATCCTAAAAGGAGAAGATTAGTATTTACAATAATTCTAAAGAGAGTGGCATACAGATTATTTTGTTCTATTTCTGCAATTACAAAGCAGATGATAATACAATTACTGAGGAATATGTAAATAAAATCACCTGAGTTTTATGTCCACATGTTACATCTATTAGATTATTTTGAACGCTTCCATCCTCAATGTTTTCCTGACAGGAAACATCTCTGGAATGCAAGTCAGAATTTGATGGAGTTCTTGAGTGCAGAACAGAAGCTGCTACATCTTCTGCAACAGCTTGAAGTTGTTGGTCTTCTGCTGA